GTTATTGTTGAGTTTCCATAATATATATGTAACTTTAAAATTAGTGCATTTTTATTACTTCTCCTTTAATACAAATTATATTCCATATGGGAGTTAATTTGGAGGACTCCCAGTTATCCAGTCGCCCCCAGTTTGGGACACACGTGGGGCAGCTACTCAGGTTCCTTTCAAGATGAAATTCATGATGGCTTGAAGTCCTTCAAGTATACTTGGAGCCCAGTTCTTACCCCCAACCACCGTGGCAGCCAGATGGTTCCGTCTGAACGGAAATTGGAAATAAATTATGACAGCACAGAACTTGAATGACTTCATTCCATGTGAACACTTGGAATTTTTATTTGTGTCTAAATTTCAAAGGAAACAAAGTACAAACTGCGAGGTGTAGTATTTTCATTTTGACAGAACAAATTTTAGTTCATGCCTAAACTATTTTACTGAGTTTGAACACTATCTTTAAGATTGAGAGGTGCTCTTTTTTTAAAATTGTTGATTGTTTAGAAACGAAAGAACAAGTCAAGAAAATAAAATCTTACTGGAAAATTATTAGTTACTAGATAATTATTTTTATAAAATATTATTAGTTCAAACTGTTGGGTAAAGATAAAAACTGTTGAACAAACAGTTGAGATTTTTCTCTTTTTTGTGCTGTAATATTTATTTTGTTTTCTGTGTTTTTTAAAAAATTTTTACTTATATATAATACACACAAAGTTCAATAAAAGAAAATTTCAATGTTTGCATTTCTCTTCTCAGTGTTGTTATTCACTTCATTTCGTGATTATTGCCAAAAATAATTTTGTCCTATAAAGGAAGGGGGCAGTTTAGGAGTGACCCATCCAGGCAGGACTGGCTGTGTAATTTCAAGAGACTGGCGCAGGTCCTTTGTTTAAAAATGATTAAGAATTTCAAGATGGTGACAGTAAAGCATTAAACCAAGCTTGGAGCCCTTCTGAACATGAGTCCCTGTGTGACGGCACAGGTCACACACCCCTGAAGCTGGCCCTGGCTCTGAGTGTCTTGGATGCTGGGAACACCATTGCCTCCAGGTTGGTTCCCTTCCTTAACTATAGTGAGGCTCCCGTATCTGCTGCCCCTCCACCCTGACCTTTAGGAAAGAGCTGCTGCTCAGCACGACGGTTCCCGTGCCCTTCAGATTCTCCGTCATCCCCCCAGATGACATCAGCTCCGTCCCTCCCATGCCCACCTGAACCAAAGTGCCGGCACAACCGTGAACCTCAGTTCACCAGAAAAGTTGATTTCCCAGAACTGCCCACTCCCGGCTTTTGGGAAAAAAACCCATTATTTTACCAAATGAATAGTTCTTCCTCTATAGGATCTCTGGAAAAACTGACCACTGGGTAGTTGTTCCCCAGTCTGGGGTCTCTGTGAGGCTGAGTTTTATGCCAAATCTGAGCTGGGTAAAGAGAGTAAAATTTGGACTGCTCTTTCCCCTGCACGCCCTTGTAGGCAAGCACTAATGATGGTCTGGATGCCACAAAACTGGGACTGTCTGAAGATAAAGTGATGGTGATGAAGGCTGGAAATTTTCATTCAGGAGCATGTTGGGTTCCCTGTCCCAGACACGGGAGGGAAACAAAGATGAATAACATGGTCCAGCCCTCCAGGGCTGAGAGGGCTCCTGACACAGCGTGAGGGGCCCCCATCTCAGGAGCAAGCAAAGACCCACCGGAGAACAGGAGGGGGTGGTGTGTGGGCTCTGCACTGCCCTGATGTGATGGGAGAGGCTGTGAGAGAGTGAATGTCCCTTGGCTTTGATACTTCTGTCTGTAAAAGGAGCATCTATAAACTGCTCCAGGTTTCACAGGTCGCTAGTGAGAAATAACTAATAAAAACCCACTTGAGATTCTTAAAGTGCATTTGACACAAACGGAAAGCATACAAAGGAATGTGTTTCTAGGGTTTTCTTGTGAAAGGCTGGGAGTAAATGACCCACAGCCTTTGCAAAGAGGCTGCCAGAGTATTTCTGAGACAAGAGTCTTGTTTCCATTCATGTACATAAAGGAATCGACTCCTTGAAGCCAAGAATCCCTGATGTGCTGAGTCAATGGCTGCTAGCGTGCCCATTCAGAGCTGGTAAGAAGTTAAATAGAAATTTCAGAAGATTTGTAATTGTAATTTAATATAAACCAGTGATGCAAATGAAGCTGACATTTAATTCCAAGTGGCTGACTGTGTATCATGGTCTCGGGGTCCCACCAGCAACACACACACACAGATTCCCAGTGCATCCTTGCCCTGCACAGTGCCTCGAGGATGGACTCCTCCCTGGATCTGTGTGCCAGGCCTGGCTTTGTCTTGGTTCACAGGTGACAGGGATTCTGCCCCTCAGACATCGGTCTGGCCCCAAGCCCAGTGTGCCTCTGCAGCCATAGATTGGGGGTTGATTTCTGGGAAGTCTGCTCCAGGCCAAGGAAGAGTCTTCTAGAGGGAGTCCTTACACATAGGTGAAGGCCATGTAATTTTGAGACGTTTTATCAGCGAAGCTCATTGCCTGGCCCTTGGGAGTAAATGTTGAGCACTGGCACAGACTTTGGGCAAGTTACATTCTAAACTTCACATTCCTCGTCTGTAAAATGGGTGTAATCACAACATCTACTTTAACACCTGGCACTTAGTAAGTGCTTAATAACTAGTAGAAGAAAAATAAAATTTTTTTCCTGACTTAAACCTACTTAATGCCACTGAGCTGTACACTTAAAAATGGCTAAAATGGTAAATTTTTTGTTGTGTTTATGTTACCACAATGAAAAAACTTTAATTAAAAAACTGCTGGGAACTTACGCTTTCAGGCATGATAGACTAACAGGGATTAGATCTACCTTCCTGCCTTAAACAACTAAAAAACTGAACAAAACATATGAAATAACACTTTTCAGATGTTAGATAATAGGTAGTCCAGAAAATGATCCCTGAGAGAAGAGAAACAAAGAAGAAAAAGGAATTTCCAGCCCACGGTACAGGGAGGGAAATCTGCATGGAGCCTGTTGGTCTCTCTGAGTTGAGAAGACAAAGTTGAGAGTTCGAGAGGGGTTGGGTAGGTAGAATTCACAAGGCAGAAGAGCTGAGAGGGGAGAGCTGCAGGGAGAGGAGAGAGCTAAAAAGAGAGAAAGTGCTGAAGATGCAGAGGATTCTCCTGGAGGGACCACTGATGGCTGCATGCCTGTGAGGAAACACCCTGAGGCAGGAAAAAGAATCAACAAAAGGAGCATCCTGAACAATCCACGGGGCTAGCTCAGGACTGGGAGTAGTTCATGTTCCCACCAGTCAGAATGGAAAAAAAATGTCATACCACACAGGGCACAGAAAGAGTCCTCAGAGGGTGTTGTTTCAGTCATGGAAAGAAATTAACCCTAGATTAAAGTGTGCTCTGGCCTCACCGAACAAAGCTTAAAAACCAGCCCCAGAAGGATTAAAGAAATGTAACTATATCCCAGAACAAAGTTCAAGAATATTTAAAGGGATACAAAAACATCCAGCATCCAAAAACATAGCATCTGACATCCAGTAAAAAAAAGATGACCAGGCATGCAAAGAAGCAGAAAAATATAACCCAAAATGAGACAAAAAAAATCAACCAATAGAAACACATCCAGACATGATACAGATGATATAATTAGTGAACAATGACATCAAAACAGTCTTTTTAACTGTATTCATATTTTCGAGAAGGTAAAGAAAAGCACGAGCACGCTAAAGAGAGACACAGAAGATATTTTAAGAGACCCAAATAGAACTACTAAAGATGAAAAATACAATGTCTGCAATAAAAAATATACTAGATGAGAGTAACAGCAGATTAAAGACCACAGAGTAAAATGTTACTCAACTTGAAGACTTGGCAACAGAAACTATTCAAAATGAAACAGATAAAAAATGACTGGGAAAATAAAGTGAGAAGAGCATCAGTGAGCTGTGGAGGCACCCCAGGCAGTCTAATATATATGTAGCTGGAGTGCCCGTGGGAGGGTGGGGAGGAACAGAAAAAATATCAGAAGAAATGATGGCTGAAACTTTTCCGAATTTGAAGAAAACTATAAACTCACGGATCCAAGAAGCTCAGTGAATCCCAAGCACAAGAAACATGAAGAAAATGACACCAAACTAAACGAGAATGGAATTGTTTAAAAGCAGTGATAAAGAGAACATGTTAAAAGCAAAAAAAGTATGCATTCCATACAGAGGAGCAAAGATAAGGATGACAGCAGATTTCTCACTGGAACTAATGTAAGTCAGGGGACAGTGGAGACACATCTTTAAAATATTGAAAGAAGGGGCCGGCCCGGTGGCACAGCAGTTAAGTTCGCATGTTCTGCTTTGGCAGCCCGGGGTTCACCGGTTCGGATCCCAGGTGCGGACATGGCATCGCTTGGCACACCATGCTGTCGTAAGCATCCCACATATAAAGTAGAATAAGATGGGCATGGATGTTAGCTCAGGACCAGTCTTCTTCAGCAAAAAGAGGAGGATTGGTGGCAGTTAGCTCAGGGCTAATCCTCCTCAAAAAAAAAAACTGAAAGAAAAAGAACTGACAACCTAGAATTCTACACCCAATGGAAATATCTTTCAATAAACAAAAGCTGACATACTAAAGCTGAAAGAATTTGTCCCCAGCAGACCTGCACTACAAGAAATGTCAAAGGGAGTCGTTTGTGCAGAAGAAAAATGGTACTAGATGGATATATATATTTACACAAAGGATTTACACAAAGGAGTGAAGAGCACTGAAAATGGTATCAATGTGAGTGAATATAAAAGACTTTTTCCTTTACTTTTTTTGTGTGCGTGTGAGGAATATTGGCCCTGAGCTAACATCTGTTGTCAATCTTCTTCTTTTTGCTTGAGGAAGACTGTCGCTGAGCTAACATCTGTGACAACCTTCCTGCACTTTATGTGGGATGTCACCACAGCGTGGCTTGATGAGCGGTGCTAGGTCTGCGCCTGGGATCCAAACCTGTGAACCCTGGGCCATCAAAGTGGAGCCCATGAACTTAACCACTGCACCACCAGGCTAGCCTCATAAAGACTTTTTTCCTTTACTTTTAAAATATCTTTAAAAATTAAAGCAGAGGCTCTCCTTCTCCTGCCATTTAAATTGTCCATCTTCTGGGATGGAGAATTCACAGGGCCGGGACCCACGATATGGGACGACTCCTGCGTCAGCCGCTAGCAACTGACTGAAGCTGGTTAATTACCTCTCTGGACCTCAGTTTCCCTCAATTGTCAATAGGAGATACTATTTCCCAGCCTGTTTTACGGGGTGGTTGTGAGGATCAAATAAGCTAGCAAATAACAAACCGTTTGTAAAATTAAAGCAGCCTAAACTAGCAGACTGGTCTTGTTTCAATTTTGCAGCCCCTTCCAAGAAAGTGGCTTCTCTTGGCAAGTCTGAGGCCTGCCCACTGATGCAAGACTGAAAGCTACTTCTGGGGCGGCAGGTCTGTGTCTCCGCTCTCATTCAATGGAGCATCTTCCTCCATCCTTTGGAGTAGGAGGGATCCCTTGAGAACACGCCTTCGCTCATAATACAATCCCTCATTCTGGTCAACCCCACCTATTAGTCCTGCCCAGACATCTCACAAACAACAATGGCATCCCAGTGGTTATTGCTGGCCTCGTCCAATGAGGGGTTTGGGCTCATGGAATAATACTGTTTCCTGGCTGGGCACGGAACAAGGAGTTGAGCCTCATCAAGAGTGGCAAGCGGCCAGGCCTTTCCATCTACTGACTCCTCCTGCTTGCCTAGGCCAAGGTGGCCCTGGGGAGTCCCATGCAGGGGGCAGTGGGAGAGATGCCACAACCCCAGCAGGTCATTCAGGACCCTGTCACTCCTGCTTTTCCTTCAACAAACGTTTGCTGAGTGCCGACCACACACCAGATTCATTGCCAAGTGCTGTCTACACATTGTTTAATTTCTTCTTCACAATAGCCCCGTGAGGTTGATATTTACATTCTCATTTCACAGATAAGGAAACCAAGTTTCAGTTTCCTTGATTGGTGGCCCAGCTAGATTCAAGCCCTTTTCTCCCATCGCAAGTACAGACACCTTTCTGAAGCTCCACGTCACCATTCCTGCATGATCTGGATGTTGGATACCCACAGGGCACAGGGGACGGAGAAGGCTTCAGAAGAAGCAGCAGGAGAGTAATAATAGCCAACATCTATGGAAGGGCTACTCTTTGCTAGCCACTGTGCAAACTGTATAAGAACTACCTCATTTAATTCTCAAAGGAATTCTGAGAACTAAGTATTAGTCTCTTCCCATTTCCCTTGCCCAGCATTGCACAGCTTAGAAAGGTGGACTGGGCTTTTGCAGCAGATCCATTATTTTATCCCAAAGAGGCCATGGGTCTTAGGTGGTTCTCCTCAGAGCAGACCCAGAGATGATGGAGTTTTCTTGGGAGAGGATTCCAGGAAGCAGTGAGGGGTAGCGTGAATGAGAATGAACGTGTAGGAAGCCTGTAAAAGAATGGTATGGAGCAGGTTACTTCGATGGGCAACCTGGATTTCATCCCTCTGGGGACCTTAGGGAAACATCATTGGATGGTGCTTCTCAAACTTTAACACATCCACAAATCTGGGATCCTGTTAAAATGCAGAATCTGATGCAGAAGTTCAGGTGGGGCCCAAGATTCTGCATTTCTTTTCTTTTCTTTGTTTTTTTTTTTGGTGAGGAAGACTGTCCCTGAGCTAACACCTGTGGCAATCTTCCTTCATTTTGTATGTGGGACGCCACCAGAGCATGGCTTGATGAGTGGCATGTAGGTCCACACACGGATTTGAACCCACAAACCCCAGGCTGCCAAAGTGGGGTGTGCTAACTTAACTACTACGCCAGCAGGCTAGCCTCAAAGATTCTGCATTTCTAATAAGCTGCCAGTGATGTTGATGCTGCTGGCCCTTGGACCATGCTTTGAGCAGCAAGTGTGTAGCACACATCATAGAATTATCCTACTAGGAGGTTGAGGAAGCTGGGCTACTAAACTCTAGCTCCATCCGTCATTGGCTGAGGGCTGCTGGAGGTGGGGCACTAACTGCCCTGCCCTTCTGTCCCAGGCAGGGAGTTGCAGTGCTGGCAGTCCTGTTGGCAGGGACTGGAGCGCGTGTGCTAAGGGGGCTTGGGTGGGAATCTGACAGCTTCGCTGCATCATAGGATTGTCCTGATCACATTGTCTTCCCCGCTCGGGGCTCCTGCCCACTGTCTGTGTGGGAGAAGCCTAAGCGTGCCCACGTGTAGGTGCTGAGAGCCACTGAGCAAGCCAGATAGAGCCACGCATCAGCAGGGGCCCTGGTCAGTGTCCAAAGGGAACCTCTGGACTCCTCCTACATCTAGTCCAGACCCCCAGATCCCTGAATGGGGGTTCCTCCCTAGTCCCTCCATCACTCTTGAACTCCAAAGGTGGGGGCAGCTCCAAAAGACTCTCCAGTGATGAGTGGGGGGCTTGGGAGGGTCTCGGCCAGGATCCCTGAAAACAGTCGTGCTGGGCCTGGCCTCGTGTTTGGCCTGGCCTGGTGTGACCTTGGGGACTGGGCGTGGTGCCTCCTCCCCACAGCTCAGGGCTCCTGAAGAGGGTGGCAGAACATCTTCCTGGCATGAGACCTGCCCGCTGGTCAGGGTGTAGCCACAGACACTTGACAGTCACCAAGGGCAGACCCAAGGGCAACCGCACACATTTCCCTGGATGAGAGGCTGAGGCAGGAGAACGCTGGCCGCCTCATCCAGCCCTGGGTGGTAGCTGGGGCAGGGCTGAGCCTGCAGGAGAGAGTGGCTGGGACCTGCGTGGAAAGCTTCTAAGACACAGGTGATGACGCAGGGATGACAGCTGTGGGGAAGCCTCCCTCACCGCCTCCTTGCTCTTAAAAAATGACTTGGCTGCTTTTCTTTATGTGAGCCCAGAAAGACCCGGGTTCAAGCCTCGGCTCTGCCACTCAATAGCCGTGAGGCCTTGGGCAAGTGACTTACCCTTTTCCATCTCAACTTCTTTCCCTGGAAAATGAGGACAAGAATCCCCCATCACAAGGTTGTAAGATGAGGCACTTGGCGCAGGGCCTGCTTTGTGGTCGATGCTCAATAAATACGAGCTGTCGTTATTAGCATGAAAGAGTAGAAGATTCCTTCTCCTTCCCACCTCATTTACTTCTCAACTCAGGGGACAGATTCCTTAGCAAAATGGAGTAAAGCTCCACACTGCTAACCCAGTAAAGCCTGGGAGTTCTGCTCTGATAAGAGGTCAATGTTAACAAAAGAAGACATGTTTGTTGTGTACAAGCTCCACCAGGAAGAAACCAGGACATCTAACAATGCTGCAGCGGGATGGGACGCAGGGATCATGCAGTGGAGCCTGCATCCCGAAGGGCAGGTTTCAAGATAAGGAAAGAGGAGAAGAGAAGGAAAGAGACTCCAGAGAACATGGGGCTCCAGGATGCCCATCTGAGGGGCCTCTATGTGACCTGAAAGAGGAACTGACAGCAAAAGCAAAGAATCATTGAGTGCTCTCTCCGGGCTCTGTGCACACGTGACTCGTGCTAATGGGCCTCGCTGCTGCACCCCAACTTGGGCACCTGGATCAGGAGCCACAATACCTGGGTTCAAATCCCAGCTCTTTCACTTACCTCTGTGTGGTCTCTGTGCCTCAGTTTTCTCATCTGCAAAATGAGGATAATAACAATAGCTGCCTGTAAGTTTGAAGAGAGGTTAGGTAGGTTCGTGCACATAAAGTGCTTGCCACAGGCCCTGCGGATAGTCAGCACTCAACAAACGTGCGCTCTGCTGCTGATTTCCCCTAACAGCCTTCAACACCAGGATTATCTTGGTTCCTCTTGTATCTCAAATCCTTTATTTGACAAAAAGGAGCCCTACCCAGGGGAGGGAGAATTCAGAAAACAAGAAGGGTCATTACTTAGCACCCTTCACCCCAGGAGCCGTGCTTTGCTGGGCGGGGGGGGGGCCTCTTGCCCCCACGTCCGCCCTCCTCTCCATCCCCAGTGTGGAACCCCACAGAAACAGGTGGGACACGCCGGCACCCTGGTGACCCTACTCCACACAGGAACCCATGACTAGTCCCAGATGGACTCAGGGTGCTGGGAGCAGAACCCGGCTATTCGTAAAGCTTCTGGAGCAGCCTTGCTGTTTACTCCAGATGTAGAAAGGAGTTAGACGACTCAATCGGGTTCCTATAGAACTGCCTGGCTCCACACTTAGCAGGGACATGAAACAATCGTCGAGAAGATGCAGGGCAACATGCTCCCGTGTCGGCTCACGCTCGTAATCGGTTAACGTGACCCTTTCCTACCATTCTCTGATCTGTCTCCATCTTCCGCCACACGCCTGCAACTCACGTCAGACGGCCGACGACTATACTTGCTTTGGTTTTGTTTGTTTTTTGTTTTTTTTAAGACTAGGCTTCTGGTATAATTATCCCTCCCTCTCATCTCCAAAAACGTCATTGCTTTGGGTCTTTTATCTTAATTTCAATTTGTTGATTCATATCTTGCTTGCTTCCAAAAGGCATTTGAAGTGGCTTATTGTCATACTGAAGGAACAATAAAACCAACTATCACGAAGCAGAAGAGAAGAATGACGTGTAGGAAAGAGAAAAGAGAAAAAACTTACCAGGAAGTCTTGGCTGAGGGAAGTTATGGTCACAAAACCCCAGACTTCCTAGCAATCTGAAAAAAAAAGGGGAGGAGAGACACCATGGCTCTTTCATCATAGACCAGTGCATCATGGGAAAAAATAACCCCAAAGCCAACTGATTCTTGGCTCTGAGCTTTGAGAAGATTTTGTGACAGGTCATGGGGGCTTTGGCTCAGGATCCTTGAGTGACTTAATGAACAATATTTTCAAATGTCACTCCCAACACAGAGGAGCTCCTTTTACTGACAGTTTCTTATATCAATTCTCAAAACAAGATGAGTACGTAAGAAAGCAAGTATCCTTAAAGGAATTTATGAGTCTACCTTATAAGAAATAAAACCAAAAGTTTAAATGTTTTATTTAAAAAGATTTTGTTCATAATATTAATAATGCGATTACAACTCATAGGTGATAGCAGGTTTTCCCCCAAAACCTTAAGTTTCTTCTCAAGAGAGAAATTAGGAAGAGTTTACCTATAATGGCAGCAAGAGGAGTCACCTTCAAGGCAGCCGAGGTGGTTGGTGGCTGAATTAGTTTCCTCCGGCTGCCCCCACCGAGTACCACAAAGTGGGTGGTTTAGACAGCAGACATTTATTCTCTCCCGGTTCTGGAGGCTGGAAAGTCCAAGATCAAGGTGTCAGCCAGGCCACGCTCCCTCTGATGGCTCCAGGGAAGGCTGTGTTCCAGGCCTCTCTCCCAGCTTCTGGTACTTCCTTGGCTTCTGGCAGCATCACTCCCATCTTCACGTGGTGTTCTCCCTCTGTGTCTGTGTCCAGAGTTCCCCTTTTTATAAAGACACAGTCCTGTTGGATTAGGGGCCCACGCTACTCCAGTACGACCTCATCTTAACTTAACTAATTACATCTGCAACGAGCCTGTTTCCAAATACGGTCACATTCTGAAGCGCTGGGGCTAAGGATTTCAACATATGAATTTCAGGGTGACACAATTCAACCTGTAACTGTGGCCAAGGACACGGGGAAACTCTGAAATCGAGTCATGGGGATCAGGCTGTATTCTTAGGAGGGAAAATCGACATGTCACTGAGCTGAAACCTGACCAAATGTCTCGCGTCCAGGCTGGCGGGGAACCTTATAATCAGAACAGCAAGATTCGTCCTGGAGCCTGGAAAAAGAGAAAGTCAAAGAACAAGTGTTTGCTGATGTTTATCCAGCTCTGGCCAAGAGAGTCAGCAAACCTGGCTTGACTAGTTATACTCAGCTGCCGGGCAGGGCGTGCCCACCAGGCTTTTCCATGGCTTTGATGGAACCTCTTTCAAGACCTTCTTGATTCTAATTTCAAGCCCACCAAATTTACTAATTCATCTTCTCAGGGACCCTGATACTGGGAACTGCTATGTTCCTGGTAGTCTATATAAATGCTATCCCCTGGTGTCCAATGCACACCCCACACAAGCTACAATATGGACCCAGGGTCAGGGGCCCTCAACTGACTGCAGAGGGAGCATACAGTTCCCAAAAAGGACTCTCTCCGTTGTCAAATAACCCTTTGGCAATCTGGTTTATCCATCAGTCTTTTGTGATATTAGTTAATGGTAGTCTGTTCTGTCCCACCCAAGTTCTTTGGGTGCCAAAATCCAGAGACAAGTTCCTGGAAGATGTTAATTCAGAGAATAGTTAGAAAAAGACAAGGCTTGAGAGGAGGGAGGAGGAAAGGAAAAATATAGAGAGAAGACATAGTAGTGGAGCTGGTGAAACAGGTGGGGAGGGAAAAAATGTCCTGTGGGCTGAAGTGAGAGATCCTTTATGTGCACTTGGTGGTGGGGGTGGGGAAGCGGCAAATGAAAGGCTTTAAAACAGCACTGGATGCAAGAAAATTGGGAGGAGAGGAAAGCCGATGAGAGAGGAATTAATGATGCTTACATTTTGTTTGTTTGTTCTTCTTGCTTAAAGAGACCTAAATTAACTTAAGCGTTGGAATTCCTAGGGGTTTTGTTTACTGTTTGTGTGGGGGATCAGAATTTCCCACCCCAAAATGTGTCTCTTTGGCTTGATTATTGTTAAGAACAAAAGACTGTGAAAGAAACTGCCTAAAAGAATTTAAGACAGAAGTCCCATCCCACGAAGGAGCTAATGCCATAAGACATAAGTATGATGTAAATAGGTGACAGGAGGGCACTAGCTAGCTCATTTCTATCAAAGATCTCTCTGGAGTCTCACTGTTTATAGACGGCCCAGCAAATATTTGTTTATCAAACATTTGCTTTTCCATCTCCATGTAAATTGCCTTCCTCTCCGGTGAAATCTCAAACCACCACCCCAACATCCGCCTTTGTCTTCACCTGAAGACAGTATTTAAGGTGGTGGCTTTGGCCATTCTGGCGAGTTACTCAGTTTTCCTGGGTTTTTCCCACGTACGCATGTTATTAAACTTTGCTTGATTTTCTCCTGTTATTCTGTCTCACGTCAATTTAATTTTTAGACCAGCCAGAAGGACCTAGAGGGTTGAGGAGTAATTCTTCTTCCCCTACACATGCTTTTTGTTATTTTGGTTTTTGATTACTTTGGACTATTGGATGGGGCTTCTTTGAAAGTGACTCATACAGAAAAGGGCTGTGCAAGAGAAATAGAGTCTGAGGCGCACATGTCATTTAAAATTTCCCAGCAGTAGCCAATTAAAAAAGTAAAAAGAAACAGGCGCAGTTAATCTTAAGAATATATTTTGTTTAAACCAATATATCCAAGTGTTATTGCAATATGTAATCAATATTTTAAAAGCATTTTTAGAAAAGGTATTGATGAGCTATTTTACATTCTCTTTTATATATTAAGTTTTTGAAATCCGGTATATTCAGAGCACATCTCAATTTGGATTCTACATGTCAACTGCTCTACAGCACCCACATATGGCCAGTGGCTCCTATCCTGGTCAGCATCAGCACTGACAGAGGTTGGACTATGCAGTTCCGGGATTCCTAAGGATAAAATAATAATAATAGCAATAATGATAATAATAGCTATTTATTGAGCCTCTTAGATGTGACACGTTATATTAACCCCCTTTCTAATGCATCATCTCATTTAATCCTCTTAACAACCCCTACATGGTGGTACTGTTATTATGGCATTCCACAGATGCTGAAACAGAGCCTCAGAGAGGGTGAGTGATTTGCCCAAGGTCACACAGCTAGTAAATAGCAGAGGTGGGACTGGAAACCTAGTGTGTTTAACACCAGCCACCTTGTCTCATTTACTCAGGGTCAGCAAAGAGGCCAGCCAGTGCTCAGGCTCCCCCACCCCTCCCTTAGAGCCTGTGCACACGGGTGGACTTTCTTTCTGATTAGTGGAGCTGACACGTTGACTAAAAAATAGACCGGAAAGATCATTAATTGTCCAGCTGAGCATCCTGTGTGACTGGCTGAGAACAGAGTAGTAACAAGGAGCTCTGACTCTCCTCAGCTGGAGGAAGCTGCAAATTCAAGGCCAGCAATCAGGTTCACAAAATGCAATTGTTCTCAGTGACACTTACTTAACAAAGAGCCAGAGAGAGAATTGATTGTCATTAAAAGCCGGACAAGAGCATCGATTGTCCCCCCCAGTGATGATTTGAGGATTCTGACTTAGCCATGCCCAGAGCATCGGTGCAGACGTTTGTGATGTGATTTCCCACGTGGGAAGGGGCTCCAGTGTGGCCAGTCAGTGTAAAAGAAGCCAAAAACCAAAGCCTGGCCAAAGGGTGGGCAGCCTAGGTTGTCCCCCGACCTTCCCACCTCTGCCCTCCCACTGCCTCTCCCATCCTGAAGGCAGCAGGAGAGGAGGCAGGCCTGGCTGGGGAGGTGGGAGATCGTAGGGGCCCTGGGGAGGAACTGTCCCTTCCCCTCTGGTCCTGTTTTCCCAGATGCTCTTCGAGTCGTTTGAGCTGTGACATTTCCGGGTCTGGGGCTCCATGGGAGGAGGTTGGTCCTCTCATCCTGCTGGCCACAGCTGTAGCAACATCCAAAAATAGAGGACCTGGCCATGGATGCGGTCTGGAAAAGCCAAGCCAAAGCATTGCCTATTCACCCGTGAATCCCCAAGCAGGGTAGTGAGTGAGGCCTCACTCCCAGGAGCTCTCCTAGGCGGGAGGTGACACTCAGTGCTCCTGAATGCATTTCCAGCTCCCCCTCCAACCTGCCTCTGGCCATCGTTGGAGGAGAATGTGCAAGGCTCTCCTGCAGAGCATCCAGTCTGGGATTGAGCAACAACTTGTTGTTCTCCTCCATCTGTCCATCCAAGAAACACTAATTGAGTGACCACCGCATGCTGGATACCTTGGCAGGCCTTGAGGAGAAAGAAATGCACAGGACGAAAGCCCTGCCTTTAGGAGAACGTGGTACAGACAGACTGGGAAGCCAATATCTACAAGGAGACAGGGTAAGTGCTAGAATACAGGAATTTTAAGTGGAAGTACCTCAGTAGCAGGGAGTATATAAGTTGAACACAGAGAGGAAGACTTGGGGACTGAGCTTTGCAGGATGAGATGACATTCCAGAAAGGCTGAGAGGACTGTCCATGCAAAGGGACAGGGGATACCAGGGGACATCGTAGAAACTGCAACTTACCAAGCAGCTGGAGCTCATAGCGGGCCTGGGAGGGGGTGGGAGTCCAGGCTGGGGGCTGGTAGTGGCCAGGCATGCAGGGCTCCTGTGCCATGCTGAGGAATCACAACCTTAGCCAGAATGTAGGGTGCATGGGAGGATTTTAGGCAGGGTGAAGGGTCAGGTGGGTTACTGGAACGGACACCCTGCTTGTAGGATGGACAAGAGAGGGGCACGGCCAGCGCGCTGGCCTGGGGCCTCCAGTTTCATTCCGTGACCTTCCTTGGCTCAGCTTGGCCTTGCAGTGGGGCTGACCCCGGAGGCTGTGTTCCCTGCTTTCACATCAGCTGGCTTCCTTCTGGGTTTGTCCAATGGGAAGTGATCATGGATCATTAGAAGGTGGAAGGAGGAAAGGCATTTCTTCTAAACTTCTCTGCCTCAGGTGGTGTCTGTCGATGGCTTTGATGCCTCCATGACTCTAGTCCCCGCTGGACAGGCCTGTGTAGCCGCACTTCCTAATAACTCTGCCTCCCCGATCAGACCCTCTAGCATCAGAGGTGCTGAGGGCTTTCTTCTCTGGCTCATCTCTGGGCGGCCTTACTGTCTCCTATGCTTGGCTTCCCAGCTCTTCCCCACCTGTGCAGCCAGTTCTTTGAGTGGTTGGGCTTGAATGTGATACAAATGGAGGAAGGGGAAGCAATTAGTACAAGTTCTAGAACTTTAAGAATCTGAAAGAACAATAATGAAGGTCTGTACAGAAGTTACTACTGTGGTGGGGATGGAACCCAGAGACGCCTAAGAGGTAGAGTTGAAAGGCTCATTGACACAACATGGGGGGTGAGGGCTAAAAGAAATTGTGGATGATTTTAGGGTCATGCACGGGTCAGCAAACTTTTTCCATAAAAGGCCGGATAGTAAATATTTAGACTTTGTAAGCCACATGGTCTCTGTCTCGAATACTCAACTCTGCTGCTCTGGTGCAAAAGCAGCCATAGACAATATATGAAGGAATAAGGATGGCTGTGCCCCCCAAACTTCATTGACAAAAATAGATGGAGGCCGGAGTTGGTCTGTGGGCTGTAGTTTGCCAACCCCTGAGTTACTGCCTTGGGTGGCCGGAAGGAGTGTAGAGATGTGAACAAAATAAGGAATCCAGAAAGAAGAACTGATTCGGGCAGGAGTCAGGAGGAGAGTTGGGCGGTAAATAATGGTGAATCCTGCATCATTTCGGAATTGTGTTTGACTGGAAGTAACAGATCTGAAATAATAATGGTTTAAAGAAGATTGAGGCTTATTCTTC